TAAATGTTGGCCGTGTTCGTGCGGTAGAATCATGCATACAACACGTACAGCACAAAAGAAAGATGCCAGCGGAAGCACAGTTGAAGAAAGTTGGGTAGAAAGCTTTAAGCTGGATTTGGGCTTTTTTTGCGCCTGAGAAAACTGATGAAAAGCGTATTCTTAGAGTAAATTCAACATAGTTAAGGCATGTAGTTGTAAACGTTTTGTTTTACAGTATGTCTATGGAAGAGTATTCAAACCTATCAAACACAGACTTTGGGGCACTTGAGTTAAGTAGACAAATCGGAGATGATAGTTATAATGGGGTTTGCTTTCATACTTGCGAATGTGGTTGCAAAATCATTTCACTCATACACAAATCAAAAAATTTGATTTTCTTTTATTCAGAGTTGTTCATGGTTATGAATAGTTATAGTTAGACAATGTATGAGTACGCGGTCATACACCGGAGGGTTTAAATCAAATAGTTAGAATAACGGTTCAAGGTAAGGAGTTTGCAAATCTAAACTCCAGAACCTCAGAGACTAACAGTTTTAGGCTTAAAGAGTCTTATTTTCAGATACAGTATATAGATGGCAAGTGTTGATAAACTGATTAAGAGAATTGATGAGATAATGGAACAGAACAAAGAATATGTTCAGTTTTCGATAGCGATACTAAGAAACCAACATGTACTAACAACAACTATCAACCGAAATAGTAAATGGAGATAGTCAGGAATATAAGGACAAGAAACAAGCGTACGTTTATTCATGAAGTTGCATTTGGCATGTAAAATCATTTATGTTGTAGTTAGAGTGACACAAAAGATTTCCATGAATACATTCTCTCTGAAAAGCATGTACAGAAATATTACCTTGTTTTGCTAGACGCTGAGTGACACAGAAAGTTTTTTAGAGATACAAAAAGTGAATGCCATGATTCCGAAGCGAGATCCAGCACGTTAATCAATAAATATAGGAGTTATAAGTGTAACGATTGTCCTTCATTAAATTCAGGGATTCTTAGATTGTGTTAACCATGCTATTCGAAATCATAATTCTTTTGGGATACGCTATCGAAACAAGAAAACATGTGCGTGATGAAGATTCGCGGATATTCTTATATATTGACATGAACAAACTCTTGAATGTAGAAGAGTTCGGGAATCTGTTACATACTGGTCATGACCATGGTGATTTATAAGAATTATTACTTGTTAAACAGATGACCTAACATGTCTTATACTATTGAGATTTAACATACGAAGCATTAAGCAACAATGACTTTGCATTTTCAAGTCGCGAGCATAACGTAGGTGAATCTGAATATAGAACTAGATAGAGCAGTTGGAACAGTGGGTGGCTTAAATCGGCAATAGTGTTTACAATGAGAAAACAAGCGACCAAATCATAGAAATTAATCATTTTTCGGGGAGTGATAGCTAGTTGAAAATAGGGTTGGAGATATCTAAAGGCAAGGTGTTTTACTATAGTATGGAGTAAAAACTGTGTTCAAGATGTAGATATGAGACAGGTGAAGATAGTTTCCTGTATGGACTCAAAAACTGTGATCAATGCATTGATCAACATGAGACAATCGAAAACGAATTGCAGACAAGAGGAAAGAATACCGGACAAACATGTAGAAGCAAATCGTGATAAAACAATTTAAATCGGAAGCGTAGGGAATAACCGCAAATAATGGATTTAGTTACTGTGATGTTTGTGAAAGCAGGGTGAACCCAGAGATTTGGGATTTCCATTTAGTTGGAGGTTGTCACAAAGAAAGTATGATGAAGCAAATCAAAACGAAATGTGGCAAGCTAGTTGAAGAAGCACCTAGAAAAAAAGGCTATGGAGAAGCTCTTGAAAAAAGTGGAGAAGATTGCAGAGATCAAAATGACACTGGCTTTGTATAATCCGGATTTTGGAAAAAAGGGCTGTTCAGGAGAATGTTGGTGAATTGAACCAAAAATTGAAGTTGGTCACTAGAATATTATTGAAATCGCTACGCGACCCGCCGACGCCAGCGGACAGTCCCCTATTAATAAACTGGCGCTGATCAATCTGGAGTCAGCACTGGCTCAAGGGACACTGCCAGGCTGCAGGGTACCTCAATTTTGGGGTCAGGAAAAAGACGTCTTTTTGCCTAGGTCACATGGCGCTGACCAGGCCGCTGGGTCTTGGGGGATCTGACGAAGTTGGTTTCTAGGATGAGCCCAACGATAGGAGTCATCCTCCCGCTCGGCATGCATGTGTTGTTTGTGAGCGGAGGCTCTGCGCGTCAAGCGTGGGGGATGACAGGCAGTGTATGGATTGTCAACTCCTGAAGATGAGATGCAGTGTGCGCCGCAAGAGTGCCCAGGAGGTGTCGATGTATCATTGCACTGACTGTGGGAAGGAGAGTTGTGCCTCGGGTCTCTTAACGTTTGGAAGGAGGGCTGCGAAGTACTTTGAATTTGGGGTACACGGGAGTCTTAACGCGTGGAAGGAGAACAAACAACGCCCCTCTGAGGTGCCTTGAATTTGGGGTAAGTAAAAGACCTTTAACGAGAATACAAACAACGCCGATCTGACTTCGGCCGCAGGGCTGAACACTTGACAGGAGAAGAGCGCTAGGGTCTACTGTCCACTCTTTAAACCACCCCCCGAAAGGGTACAAAAGCAAGGCCCCAATGTTTTGGAAGTGCAACAAGGAACAAGGCCTTCTTGGCACTTTCTTGTTTTCCATGTCCCAGATGCTGAGGATGCTGGAAATTCAAGGGATGCAACCACACAACTTACAGGAACAGACCCAATCTTCGCGCTCAAAATTTTAAGACATTCAGGCACGCAACATGGACCAAACACAGAAAATGCCAGAGATGCGGGGAATGCTGGAAATGCAGCCGGCTAGCCGCAAGAAAGTGGAAAACGACAATTTTGATATTTCCAAATATCAACCATCAAAACCGATACTAGCAACCCCCCTCAAATACCCTAAAAATAGACTTCCACAAGCACGATAATGCAGGGGATGTTTCGCAGCAACTTCTCCGTACAGGTGAAAAATTGCAAAAACACTCATTTTTGCAAATTTCAACAGTTCCTCAAACCTGGCCCCGCCCAAACCCCTAACAGGCCAATTTCAACATCGCTTGAAACAGCAAAACACGACTAGTATCTGCACAAAAAGACACAAACTCATATGGCAACAAGATAATCCTGATGATGCTGGGGATGCAGATCCTGCACTTCTTGGGGAACCCCGTAGGCGAAGCGCAGATTTTTAGCACGAAAGACCAAAAATGAAAAATACAGGGTTTTGGACACCTAGCACAGCATGCCCAAAAAAATAAATAGCAGTGATAGGAGATTCCGAAGGAAGACCAAGTTGCGGACTGCCATCTGATGTCTTGCAAGGGCCGAGAGTGGCATCCTGAGTTTGGCTCTCTTTGGGCTTGGGGTATGACACAACATGCCCAGCCTCCTGGCCGCGAAGACGCAGCAAATGAGTCCTTCCACAATCCGAACTTCGTTGTGGGCAAGTTTTGTACACCCTTGCGCTCTTCAAAACATCGCAAACTCGGACAACTTCCTCCTTGGACGTCCCAGCAAATCCGTAGAGAGCCCTTCACAGGCTCAACCGGAAACTCCTGACCAAGCTCGGGGCAGGCAGCCCGCAGAGTTCCGCGTCTGGCCTAACACGCCACAACCGCGGAGTCGCGCTGCAGATAGCCACAATCCTCAGGTCTTTGCAAGTTCCGGCCGAGTACTAAGCGTACTTGAGCACACCGGCAACGCTTGACTTTCCTGCGCACCTCGGCTTTCTTGTCGAACACAAAGGGGGTGGACTGAAACTGACCAACCAAGCATTTCAAAGATCCAGCGTGCTGTTGCAGTCACAGCACTCATAGTTCCCATTCCATGCCTTCCAGATCCCTTGTGCGCGGAGCTTTATCCAGCTGAGCAAACGCTTCTTGAAGCAAGGCTGCGGAGGCGTCAGGCTTTTGCTGTGGGCGAGCAGCACCTTCAACTTCGTGAGCTTGCTGCGCACGTAACGCTCTTCCTCAACCAACTTGCTGCTGGCATGCCACACAACAGGATCACCTTGGCTCGCAAGCACAGAGCTGGAACCAAACCATTCCACGACCGGAGCAAGTGTCTCAGATCCCGATCCGAAAGACCACTTGAATCTTTCCAGAGATCGGAAGCACGGCTTCAAACCTCTCAACAGGAAACAGGACACTTCCCAGGCCAACAACAGCAATGTGTCCACTCGCAACAGCCTGGCTCACACACAGCACGTACTTACGTACACACGTACACACGCAAGCGCATACACACATTTACCACTTCACATCGCGTGACATCACATAACGTCTTACAGACATGCACCGCGGTCGGCCATCCTATGTGTTTTGTGACACGCATGTCATTCTAGGGACCTACATCAATCCAACGAAGCAGGCAAAGAATGGTGCTATACACGCCTTAGCAGGGTGAACTCCCGCATTCGTGATCGATCCTCAGCAGGCACAGCGCCGGCTACCTTTGCTTGGCACGAAATTATATATACTGTTGAAGACCAACTCCGATCTCACCTTTCATATCTTTCACGTTGTGTTTATGTTTTTCATTCTTTTCATTTCCCACGTTGTCGTTGAAAATGTGTTGTTGCTCACATCCCAGATTGTGTGTGGTTTGCCACGAATGTACCGTGTACCCTAGTCGAACTACTGGCAGTTCAATGCTCGACCAGCTTCTCTGCTCTCAGTTGTTTTTCGTTTGCAACTGTCTTCTTTCACATTTTTCATTTTGATTTTTATTTTGCATTGTTTTTGGCATTTTCGTTTTGTACACACGCAACGGACTAATGCCCCACGAATCTAGACCCCCTCGTTGTATTCAGGACTTCATCTTACCCCAAAAAACCCTTAGCGTGGAACGCGTTTGGGGAAAGTGACCGTCTGTGTGTAGCTTGCAGGGGAGCAATGGGCAAGCTGTTGAAGCCGGCGCCCCTTCTTTTCGGATTGGCAGGTGTGGGGCGGCCCTGCGCACTTTTTCGACGCATTGGAGAGAGTACTGCCCTTGTCGACGGTGATCTCCACCCAGGTGCTGCGGCCCTGGACGTATGCCGTGTGCCAAGCGGTCGGCGACCAAGCCGTGTGAACAGGGTTTGTAGATGTGGGATAGTGTGGAGGGCGCTTGGTCCTTAGGGTGGTTTCAGCGCTCGCTTCTTTCGGGGATGGTGGCACGTAGCTTGCAAAGAATGCCATGCTCTCGCTCTCGCTCTCTCTCTCTCTCTCTCTCTCTCTCTCTCTCTCTCTCTCTCTCTCTCTCTCTCTCTCTCTCTCTCTCTCTCTCTCGCTCTCTCGCTCTCGCTCTCGCTCTCGCTCTCTGTCTCTCTGTCTCTCTCTCTCTCTCTCTCTCTCTCTCTCTCTCTCTCTCTCTCTCTCTCTCTCTCTCTCTCTCTCTCTCTCTCTCTCGCTCTCGCTCTCTCTCCTCTCTCTCTCTCTCTCTCTCTCTCTCTCTCTCTCTCTCTCTCTCTCTCTCTCTCTCTCTCTCTCTCTCTCTCTCTCTCTCTCTCTCTCTCTCTCGCTGCCCTTTGTTTGGCTGTTTCTCGTCCGATTTATATCTTGTCATTTTCTTCGTCTGTTTCTTTATCTTTCTCTTTCTTTACCCTCTTTCACTTTGTCATCCTTGTTATCTTTCTTTTCTTCCTTTCTTTCTTTATTTATTTCTTTATTTCCTTCTTTCTTGCTTTCTTTCTTGTTGTTGTTTCCTTCTTTATTTCTTTATTTTTATTTATTTCTTTGTTTTTCTTTCTTTCTTTCTTTCTTTCTTTCTTTCTTTCCTTCTTTCCTTCTTTCTTTATTTAATTGTTTTTTTCTTTCGTTCTTTCTTTCTTTCTGTCTTTCTTTCTTTCTTTCTTTCTTTCTTTCTTTCTTTCTTTCTTTCTTTCTTTCTTTCTTTCTTTCTCTCTCTCTCTCTCTCTTTCTTTCTCTCTTTCCCTTTTTCTTTCTGTCTTTCTGTCTTTCTGTCTTTCTGTGTTCTTTCGTCTGTCTTTCTTTGTTTATCATTTCTTGCTTTCTTTCGTTCGTTCGTTCTTTCCTTTTGTCTTCCTATCTATCTTTATTTCTTTCTTTCGTTCTTTCTTTCTTTTGTTCTTTCTTTCGTTCTTTCTTGCTTTCTTTCCTTCCTTCTTTCTTTCTTTCTCTCTCTCTCTCACTCTCTCGGCCTCTTTTTTCTTTCTCTCCTTCCTTGCTCTTGGATCTTCATCTGAGCCTTCCTCTATTCTCTTTTCCTTTGTCTTTTTTTCTCTGCTTGTTTTCTTCCTTTGTATCTCTTTGTCTCTTTTGCTCGTTTGTCTTTTGCTCTCCCCTTTTGTCATTTTTCGCGTTTTTCTTCTTGCATTTTCGCTTTTCTTTCCACGCAAGCAGGTGTCGGGGCCGCTACCCCGCTCTCCTCAGCAGCACTGCACGCCCGCCTGCCGAATGAGAAGCGCATCCTCTCCAGGCGCACGCGCAGTATCTCTTTGTCGCTCCACAGCTTCTTCAATCGCAGAAGACACAGTTCAGAGTTTCTCGTTTCGATGTTTGCGATCTCGCTACACAGAATGATCTGAAGCCAGTCACCGCTGTGCAATCACCCTGCACAGTTCTTCATCACTCAGAGCGAACTATCAGATCAGCAGAGACAAAGTTTCGAGGAACATCCAGTTAAAACATCGCACGCGTGAGATGCTGAAGACACATGCAGTATCACGACCTCGTCATCACAACCAGAACTTCCACGGGGAGAGTCGCGATTCTCGAGCAAGGAGAATGTGAAGGAGAAGAAGGTGTTTGGGTTGGAGAAAGGCAAGGGCAAATTCAAAAAAAGGCTTTGGTGGTGGAAAGAAAGGTTTTGGTGGTCGTGGTGGTGATCAACAACATCGTCAATCATTGAAAGGCTCGCATGAGCCGTGGATTTGATCAACTTGCGGCGTGGTGGAAAGGCGACCGCAAGAAGGTTTCTCGGCAAGTTTGAAAGGGATTCAAACACGTTCAAGATGCCGGAACTGCCATCAGAGGTTGGCTCACTGTCCGGCTAGGTCGAGAAGTGGATCTTAGGCGCCAGCGTCATTGGCTTCTTACGCAAGCGCCAGCACAAGCTGGTGATGTGTACATGGCCCAGACTTCGGATCAGATGATTGTTCGAGCCGGAAGTGAATACATGATGAGCAGTGCAGCTTTTGGCGAGCTTGAATTCTTTCACGGTGTGTTGTTTGCGGGTTTGGCTCATTATCGAGAAGTTGGCGCCTTAGTGGTTGGCACGGCAGCACAGAATTCGTTGGTGGGTGAAGAAATACTCCAACGGCATGATAAACTTCTGCAAAAGGAATTTGGTTTGCGGGTATGGTGTACTTCGTGTTCAAGTAGTTCCGCGAAACACCATGAAGAACCTTCAAATCACACATATACAGATGCAAGACAGCTGCCACACCGGCACCAGCACCACCAACAACTCAACCTCAAGCACAACCATCAACACCAGTATCTCAAAGCAATGATGCGCCTGGACCCTCAGCGCCTACAACTCCAATACCTGTGATAGGTTTCTAATGTTTGGAAGAGTTATAGCCCGGGAAGTCTGAGTCCTGGACACGAGGTGACGTTGTGCAACAAATCGAGGCAAATGGTCGTGCGGCTGCTGGAAGAACGGATGCGGTGACAAGGCATGTGGCCCAAGCTGAGCTGAACATTCCGGAGCAGGAGATGAAGAAGCGAGTTTGAAACCCTCCTGAACTCCAATGCGCTTTCCGTGGTCACGGATGAGACGGAGCTGGAGAGCATCAAGAGCACGATGGCGCATCGCATCACGCTACATCCTGCCAGGAAGCAACCAGAAGATCGGACAACCATGGAAGGCAAAAACACGAAGGATCGTAGCACGCACCGAGCGCATGGCCTGGTGAACGCACCATCGGCGTGGCGGAAGACAGTGAGGGAAACCCTTGTGTGAAAGTGGCTTAGCTGGAATCAAGCTTCGATCCGTGCCTGTTCTACCTTTAAATGTGGAGCAGGGCAACATCGGATTTGCAGGCTTGATCCTGCTGGACGTGGGCGATTTTGCACAAGGAGGAAACATCAGGGCAAGACAGGAGCTTCGCACGAAGTTGCGCTTCGGCAAGCGGCTGCATGGAGATCTATGAGAGTTCTGCCGTGCCGAGTACTTCGGGAGAACTGTGAGTCGGAAGAAGGACTTTGAGATTCAATAGTTTCCCAAGGAGCGCAACTTGGAGCCCTCAGCAATTTTCACACAAGCTTGCACCATCCTTGACAGACCCAAATGACCGGAAGAGCGGATGCGCAAAAACACTGCAGACGAGCTCAGGCCGACGTGGCGGTGACTCACACGTCCGCCAAGGCGATGAACGCGAGCCCACCGGGTTCCTGGGGAATTCATGATTTTCACACCACCTCACGAACAAGCTTGGCCAACACGGCCTGAGCGCCAAGGCAGAGAGCCAAATCCTATTACTTTCTGAGGATGTGAAACAGTTGCCTTAAGGCTCCATTAAGGCTCCAAGTCTTGGCACTTTTGCGATTCATGCTGTAGCCGGCTTTGAGCGTGGCAACTAGTGCGGCCTTTCTTCGCCCCTTTGCGGGAATTACACTGTCGTTTGTGCTGCCACGTTGTGCAAGAGCGCGCGGGGGAAAAGCTGGCTGCGCCACGCTGCGCGGAGCGGGCGGGCATGGCGCCAGGAACATCAACAGCAAGATAAAAGGCAGCAGGGTAAAGAAGTAAGTCAAGCGGTGGAATGGTGGAAGGCAAGACAAGAGGCAGAAGTGGGAGGGATCAAGGAGTTCAAGGGCCGAAGAAGGCAGGAAAACGCAAGCAGGATCACGTACCTCGCTTTCTTTTGCGTCTCCCTTCTTGCTTCTTGTCTTCCTTCTGCCGTCCCTTCTCGTGGCCACTCTTGCATGCTGGGCTTGCGTCTGTGAGTCTTGATCGGCCGGTTTATTGTGCTGGGCGCCTGTGGTGCTGGTAGATGCTGGGAGTGCCCGGTTACCAGCCGTGATGCCTAAAGTTGAAGCAATGATGCAATCCTGACAGTCAGCCAGGGTAACGTGCGCACTATTTGAGTGAATGCGCCTTTTCCATTTCCATGGTTTGCTTGCATGAACTGCAAGCGGGTTGTGTTGTATGTGTTGTGTACGCATGTTATATTCATGGTTCATGGGGGTTGTATGAATGTTGCAAGCGCTCTGTGCGCGGTTTGTACGTCGCGCAGAGAAGAAGTGCGCACACAACTCAAACAAAAGTTCATATGGACACAAATCCCAACATCTGAATACAAATGCAAACAACAGTCCACAACCCACACAACACACAACCAATGTGCGCACAGAACGCAAACAAAGCGCAAACAACATGCGCAACATGCACCTAAAACGCCCACACACACACCGGGCAACCTCCCTACAACAAGAAAATCACGCCAAATGCACGCACAATGCGCGCAACGTGTGTGTGTGTGTGCAACACGCATACAACACGCATCTAACATGAACGCTATATGCGTACAACATGCGTACGGCGCGCGTACGCAATGCGTACAAAGCGCGTGCTGTGTGCAACACACGTGCGTCCCGCATACAAAGCGCACACATCAGTCGTACAGCGTGCAAGCGCGTACAATATGGAAACCCAACGCACACTCACTGCGCACACAATACACACACATTGTGCAACACGCATTCAAGATGCAAAAAACAGTCATAGAACATACAAGAAGCACCCGCACCGCGTGCCAAATGCATACACCATGCATACCAGCTGCATATGAACCCCTGCAACATTCACGCAAACCAACTGGGAGTTTCCAGGTTTTTGGCACAATCCTCTAGCATCGAACTCGTAGAATGCCAGTGTTGGACAATTGCCCCTTGAACATCAAGTAGTGGCCCACATTGCATTTTTGTAGTCCCAAAATCGGAAGTAGGTACTACCTCAAAAAGCGTGTTAACTCCGGGCCACCTGTTAATTCGGCAGACGAAAGGTGGGAAGACAGTTCCTTTTGTTGGCCGCAGACCAAGGCTCTCATGCAGTTTGCGATGTTTCGAATCGAATCACGGTTTTTCCCGCGCGCCTCTTCTTCTCAATTAGCAACTCTTCGCTTCGCATCGTGCTTTTTGTCTCCAATTCGCAGCGGCCATTTGCTAATGTTTCTTCCTCTTGCAGATTGAAGCTCCCGTCAAATTCAATGCGCAACTTTTCGCTTCAAATTGGCCCCGCTTTGAAGCGGAACAAATGCGACTTCTAGGATGTCCTTTTGAACAAAGCAACTGGAAGTGGCTTGGAGACAAAAAGCGCGATATGACGTGGAAAGTTGCCAACTGAGAGGAAGCCAAGATTAGGCCAGGCGTAGCAAATTGCATACAAGCCCCAGCCTTCGACAAACAAAACGCAAACGTTTTCCGAGCGGTAGTCTCCGGAAGCATTGCGAAGGGTTTACGTACGAAAGTGTTACGCAAATAGAGGAAACTTGTTCGGAGCAACTTGCTGAGAGAACTGCCTCGGAGGAACTTGCGCCAAGAACATGCTCAGAGCAACAACTTGCACAGAGAGCTTGCTTGGCGAACTTCCTCAGAGGAACTCGCTCCAAGAACATACTCAGAGCAACTTACGCAGAGCGCTTGCTTGGAGAACTTGCTCAGAGCAACTCGCGCCAACAACTTGCTCAGAGCAACTTGCTGAGAGAACTTGGGAACTTGCTTGGAGAGATTGCTCAGAGGACGCGCGCCGACAACTTGCTCAGAGTAACTTGCACAGAGAGCTTACCCGGACAACTGTCTCGGAGAACTTGCGCCAAGATGCTCAGAGCAACATGCGCAGAGAACTTGCCAGGAGACGTTGCCGCCGCTGCTACTGCTTTTGGGCCACCCATCTTCTAGATTTTGAATTTGACTCCGTTGGGACAAAACAGTGCCCGCCACCACTTTTGGAAGCAGCCACACTTCCACGACGCCCTCCTAATCGCGACACACCTAGCTGAGAGCTGGGCTCTCTGCAGTTGGTTGTGGCACGCACGCAGTGGTCTGCAAGTTGTAAACGTAGCTTGCTGCCACGGACGAACATGAGGGATGAGAAGTCCCTCGCTCAAAAGTGCCAGGGTCGGGAACTGCCGAATGTTGCGTGAGACGACGCTAGCAATGCTGCAAATCGAGCTGAATGGCACGCAGGACATGTGTGGTTGCTTGCGTCGGTAGCGATTGGAAGAAGAAGTAGACGTGCGTGCGGAGGAGCGTTCTGGCCCGGTATCCTTGTCAGCCTGCAGGCGATGCAACACTACCACCCGCGCAGGTGTTGGGGCGGCGGCTGCGCTGCGCGAGGTGCCCAATGCAAGAGACGAGCAACTGTGTTGGCGAGCGTCACACAGCCAGCGGCTGCTGAGCAGTCTCCTCGGCTGGATGGACGGTGAAGAATGGGCACTTGCTTTGAATGAGCCGACGCGCCACTCATTGGTTCAATCTGCCAAGAGGAAGCTATTGCTGACACGTCCTTGGTGGTCAACAGTACAACCGGAGTTGGCCCTTGTTTGATTTGGATTCAGGCAGGCTATGCCTTTTTTACGTGTACAGATTGCGCTGCCTCCCGACAAGTCGGTCGGCCCAAGCATTTGGAAGACCCATTTCGCCAACAAATTCACAACATTTTGGAACACGCCGTCCACAAACTGCACACATAAAATGCGTTGAGGGCGGGCATCCACCCAAATCCAGTTTGGGGCGACCGCCAAGGCTAATGCCAGGCCAACTCGACTCTGTTGGGCAGGGGAGTTCAGGAGGTCAGTGGAAGACTCAAATAGGAGACGCTTATGTAGGCCGTGTGTGGGTAAAGGATAGGGTCGGTTTAGGTGCTGTTGTTGTTACTGGTTATATACTACATTGTGCCGGACAAGCAAGATTTGCTGACTCTGTTCGACAAAGCTGTAAGTCTTCAGAATGGTTCATCTACACATTTTAATAATAATGGTTCAATATACGAAGATATACACCCGACGCTATTGAAGGTTTGTATATGGCTCGTAATAATTTTGTCGGTCGCGGCGGCGTACCCTGTATGTTTAGTTTTGTTGTTCAGTCTTTCTGTTCATGTTTGTTTTTCAGGTTTGCGTCGGTCCCCCTGGTTTGGGAGGTGCTTTTCGTCATTTCGACTTCTGAGGCAGCGCCAAGACAAAGGCGGCAGCGGTTGACCTTCCAGACGATGTCAGGATTATTATCACAACTGGACGAGGCTTACGACGACCGGGAGGTCCAGTCCATCCAAACCGCGCTGCGGATGATTCAGAGGCAAGGAGGAGAGACAAAATGGAATGGTAATGGAGTGATGAATGGTGCCTCCTCTGTTTTGCGCGCAGTAAGAGGCACGCTTGAGCCTCCCAATCAACCCAGGTTACATTCCTAGTGTTGGCAGCGATGCGTGGGATGGTGACAGCTGCCTGGCTGTTGACAGCGGCGTCTGGCATGGTGAAGACACACTTGTATCGTGGTGACATCCTCCAGGACCCTTAACAACCCAGTGGCCGCCAGCAACACAAAGCAAAGAAACCAAGAGCATTCTGAACCTGACCGAGGGCTCGCATCTCCCCCTGAGATGGCAGCGACTCCCAAGCCTACCGTTGTCAACCCCTTGTCAGTTGGCAATTGACAAGTTGAGAAGAATTGTAGGCGCAATTTGTGCCAAGTCTCCAAGAAAGACAAAGCACCTTGCACGAGCCAACCTGCGCGAGAAAGATCGCGCCGCCAAACTTGCACGAGCCAACTTGCACGCCGGCCGCCAACTTATCGCGCCGCCAAACTTGCACGAGCCAACGTGCTTGCACGAGAAGCTTGCGCAGCCAAACTCCACGAGCCAACTTGCACGAGCATTTGTCGCATTGCCTAACTTGCGCGGGCCAACTTGCACGAGAAAGCTCGCGCAGCCAAACTGTCGCGAGCCGACTTGCACGAGAAAGCTCACGCAGCCAAACTTGCACGAGCCAAGTAGCGCGAGAAAGCTCGCGCGAGCCATGTGGGCACGGAATTATCCACTTAGTCTCCTAAGGCGGCGGGGCCGAATTCACTCTGCGAAATTTCTGAGGTGACGCGCCCTCTGCGGGGATCGAGAAATCTTGCTATGTGTGACGCGACTCTGTGGGGATGGTGCTGCGCGCGCGATCCTTTGCAGAGATTCGGATGTGCAAAAAACTGCGGACTTGTTGCGATTTCTGCGAGGATTGGCGTGGTCGATCGCACGCAATGCATTTTTGTTCTAGTCCGAACGCGGGATTGAAAGTGTGTCTCGTGGTTTCCGCGCCTGCTCTTGAAAAGGGGCAGCCCTGCGGCTCGAATCCTGCTTGGGCAAATCGCAATTTTCAAGCACAAAAGTAGCACGCGTACACTTTCAGAAGGCTGCGGCTTGAAGATCGCAATTTCAAAAGCACTGGAGTATTGCACGACGTACACGGTCAGAAGGCTTCGGCTAGGAGACTTTCAAGCACAAAAGTATTGCACGAAGTACACTCGCAGCTCCGGTTCGACAGTTGGAACCACGTGCTCGTAGAAACTTCTTCCGAGCTTGCGCAGCACACTTGTGCAGAGCACGTGCACAGCGCACACTTGCACGGGGCACTCGCGCGCGCAGAGCAAACTTGCACTGGATTCTTGGGCCGAGCTCTCGCGCACGCAGAGCAACACTCACTTTCCACACCTGTGGCTTCCCGGCGGGTACATTTTTCTGCTGTTAGGTTAAAAACACTGTTTTAACCATCGAGACGGCACTTTTTGTGCGAAACGACACTTTTGCAAGTTGAGCGTTGCAGCCGGTCGCTTGCTAAACCGAAACGGCAATTTTACCCGTCCAGTTTTCGCGTCCAAACGCCAACTTTTCCCGACCGTTGGACGGGTGTTTCCTGAAACGGCAGTTTTGCAGGCAAACGGAGCTTTTTCGTAAAACGGCTGAAAAGTATGCCTTTTCGCCAAACAGCAAAAATGTACCCTCCGAAGGTTGCGCTTTCGCGCCACCCGTGGTTCTAGACTGGTGTAACTATTGGAATGCTGGCGAGCCGTCTCGCCCGCTACACAATGACACTTGGATTTCCGGGGTGGCAGCCCCTCCGTTCAGAACAAGCCAGGGCCCATTTTGCCGGTATTTGTCTGCAACCGCCGGCATGTGAGACATTTTTCGTCAAACTCAAACTTATGATAGAATGGGTGTTCCAACCCACCCCTAAATTTCCAGGAGAGTGAGAATGTCGTTTTTTGGTTTTCTATTGCTTCCTTTTTCACCAACAACCCCCTTCGATCTCTCATCCAGCAAGGGGAATCTCTACTTCCGAAAACACATGTATTCCCTTTGCACTTTGTTTCGGTTGCGGCCCTTTGCACCCAGATGTTTCGTGTGCCTCTAGGTGTGTGATGCTGACCAGAAAGGAACAGCAGCCCCAGCTGGAGCCCATGCAATGCGGCCACGTGTTGTACATGGCGCACAACGAGCAGGCGCCGAGAACGCCAAGAAGGGACGCTGCCTAGCGGGCTTGATTTGGGTAGTGGCAGAAGCTTGTAGGCGCAGGAGCTGGTTCGATTCATGGCTTGGCTTTTCGCTTGAGCAGAATGCTGCAACACAAGCAATAAGGGAGACGCGGGGTGCCAGCAGACGCTGGGACTGGCCGTTCCGCGCGCTGGGGGCAGTTTGATTGTAAGTTGCGCAGGGTGCTGTAGCAGCGCAGGGTGTGGTTGCGACGTGCCATTCTGCAGGGCGCTGGAGGGAGCCAGGGGGCGCGCGACGCTTTTTCGCTTGCTGGCGCTTTCAATTCGCTAGCCCGCAGTCTCCCTAGTAGCAAGCCGAAGCATGTCTTGGTGCTCCACGACTGGTGATGAAAATTTACCCCGCCAGTCGCTGGCAGGTCGACGGTTTGAGTGGTTCAAGTTGTTTGGAAAAAGCTGTGTGATGCAGTTGTAAAGTTGGATGATGATAGTCAAAACAAAAAACATCCAGGTTGTGCAACTCACTCTGCGCAACAAGTCATTCTGCGCAAGCTGCTAAACGCAACGCAAGTCACTCTTCCCAATGTACTCGGCGCAAGCCATATACTCTCCACAGATCACTCTGCGCAAGCTACCCTATGCTAGTCTCTAGCTATTCCGGCATTTTTTTGGCCTTGCCAGCCTTTCTTGCAAGGTCTTCCAATCGCTGCTGGCCTTTTGTAACTCCGGTCAGCAGATTGAGATCGAGCTTGCCTACACTGGAGGGATGACGGTCAACCAGGCTGGGCTTCGTTCGGAGATTGCTTAGACTGAAAGCAACACTTAGGACCCCGCTGCAAAACTCACCGCTCAATAATTTTTGAATCCCAGGGCCATGCCACCCATGATGTTTCGCTCAGGTCATATCCAATGGTTCACCTTTCGATAGGAATTGGATCATTGGAAACCAACGGAGTGTCTGCGGTACCTGATTGGGGTGCACCAAACCACTGGAATCCAACACAAATACCCTTGCTTTCTCAGGCTATCTTGGACCTTTGATTGCTCGGAGCCATTGTCGAGACAATGTCCGATGGCCGTTCTTCAGTTACGTGTGCCGGGTCGACTGCTGTTGGAGTGTCCCTGCATTCGCAGGGCACACCCAAGTCAACCAGACATGGGAGATACCATCAGTGTTAAGCATCAAGTCCGCCAGGAGTGTGATCGCAAGGGTGGTGTCTCGGGCGCCATCTGATGAAGACGGTGAAAGCGCGCAAGCCCGCAAATCCCGAAGAGGGGACAGATCATACAGCCCCAAGGGCCAGCCTTGAAGAAGACTCTCAGCAAACACTATGCAAAGATGCAGCGCAAAATCATGACGCCGCAATATGACGAAGTTCGAGCTTTGCAGGATGAATGCGCCAGCATGGAATCTACAATCCAATCCGTGCGAACTGATGAGGCAGGTTGCATTCAGAGGATCACCGGCTTGGAGAGGATGAATTACACCCTCGACGCTCAAGTTACTCAAGTTCATGGAAGAATGAAGCTCTGCCCTTTCGTGCGTTTCCCACAGAAGAACTGAAATTGGCAAGGAATGCCCTTTTCCCCCCACAGAGGATTGCGCTCGCCAAACTGAGTCACTGCCTTGGCTTTGCTTCGGCCTTCGCTTCAGCCTTAGCCGTCGGCTTGGTGAAGCTCCGGTTTGTTGTTTGGCAAGTCTCCCTCCTTATTCGCCTTAACCCGGCAATCGAGCATGTTCAGAAGGCTCTTGTGTGTTCTGCTGGGGTCGCAATTTTCTGGGGTTCCTTTTGCTGGGTTCAAAGTATCCCTCGAGCTCACCTTCATGCGGCGCAGATTCGGGCTTGCGCTCTCCCATCTTCTTGGCGCCTGGCCAGAAAAGTCTCCAAATGCCATAGGTGCGGAAGCTCTCTCTCGCCTTGCCAGTCTTCATCAGCCTCGTAGTCAATTGTTGCATTTTTAGAGACACTTTGGTGGCGGAACTCCAGCAGATTTGGTCATCTTCTCCAAGCTCATCGCGAGTTTGCTGTCAATCCCAGGTCCTCTTGATCCGCCGCTGTCCGTTGGCGCTCGGGCTGAAAGCCTCAGACAGCCACCATTAGATAGAAGCTTCCCCTTCCATATCGGTCAGTCTTTGGCCACAATGGTTCTTTGATGGTTTCAGCTTCCTTCCTTGAAACCTTCGTATTTGTATCGAAGTTCAAGCTCGAGGCGATCCGCTGTGCGATCTAGGAGCAAACCCAGGAGGAGGCGTCACATTTCGTCCGAACTTTTGCTCCTTCAACAGCTTTTCCTACCTCAAACTCACGTTCCACAACTCCACCCGCAATTCATTCCCCTTTCCTCTGAAACAATCACAGGTACTCTGAAGCTCCTCATTGTTTTCCTCCTTGATTTGGATCAATGCCTCTGCTCAATGACTCCATGTTCTTCTCGTTACGAACATAGTACTGCCTCATGGAAGCGAATTCTTGTTGAAGTGAGTTGAATTGGTTCTGAGATCTGCGCCCTTCCTGGCAGTCGCTTCAGCTTCATGGATGACGTCTCACAATGTAGTTGCCGCTTGACATCCTCGATCTCAAGTCTGGCCCGATGCACATGGCTTCGAACTTCTTCAGGGAGGAGAGGAAGTGGAGATAATGAGAACTTGCCAGCCATAGACTGACCTCAGGGAGAACATTAGTTCATCCTTTTTTTGAATATTTAGGAGATCATTTTGATTCTCATGTTTCATAATTTCTCATCATGTGTTCATCATTTATTTGTTTTTCATTCTGCAAGGGTTCTCGTCATTTGTTCATCGTGTCTCTGCAAACTCGTTGATTTTTGTGATTTGCAGGTACATTGTTGCAGGTATACGTGCGAACTCCTGGAAAATGATGAAAAATGATGAAACAAATGATGATTGCCCAGGCAAAGTTGCAAATCCTGACAAAATTATGAAAACTACATTTTTTCATTAATTCATCATTTTCATCATTTGTTCATCATTCGCAAGGGTTCTTGGCATTTGTCTGCAAAATCGTTGATTTTTGTGATTTGAAGGTTGCGTTGTAGTTTCTTCCCACTGCTACTCTACATTTTTGCAGGTATCCGCGCGAACTCCTGGAAAAATGGACAAATGATGCTAACGTGATGAAACAAATGATGATTTTCCGGGCAAAGTTGCAAATTCTGAGTAAGTTCTGAAAACTAAGGGCAAATCATCATTTTTCATCATTGTCTCATCATTTTCCATTTGTTCATCATTTGGCAAGTGTTCTCCTCCTGTGCAGAAAGCGAGGACAAATCATGATTCCGCGAGAAATGATGAACCAATGAGAAAAATGACGGGGCCAAACGATGCCAAAAAGCTGGGAGAAGTGTGAAAAGAAAACAGGCACGTTGAAGAACGAGGCAAACTCTTTGGACCGCATGCTAACCCGCCGGGTCGCGAATCCTCACCGTGAAGCAGGCGTAAGAGCGAAGATGAGGCGCTCCAAGATGAAGAGAGGAGCCTTTAAGCAGAAGCTCAAACGCTGGGGGGACCTTGTGACATTCGATTACTTTCCTCCTGAAAGAGTGGGTCAGTCGGGGATTGAGACGTGTTTGAAGAATCTCTATGTGATCGACCAATTAACGCCTTCTTGCCCGCGGCTCAACTACCTTCGTGTTACTGGTCATTCCTACTTGTCATTTGCTGAGATCGTGGACGGAGAGAGCGCGTGGTCAAATACGCATGGTGACCACTTTGAAGGACCACAAATTCCTTTGGGGGCGTATGTTGACTGCAGACGCCCGCCAACAAGGGATGACAAGCACAAGTTCGCACCGAGATCTATGACAGGTGTGTTCGCTGGGTTTGAACTGAGAGTGGCATGGAAAAGGAGTTCACCATGGTTGAGCACATAGTGGACAAGGTGATGATGGTTTCGCCATTAGCATTTCCACCCAAGAGCACCTATGAGAAGGTGAACGGAAGCCTTGAAGGAAACGTGTGAAGCATTTTAAGACGTAGCCGCAGGCGATGAAGGCGATGGAGGCGGAGGTGGCGATTCCGGCAAGGAGGGGGGGTGTTTCTCGATTAGTCTGTGCTTGATACAGCACCCACTCATGCAGCAAACTGACGGGTGTCCGGTTTGTCACTCAAAAGAACACAAGCTGGCGGACTGCCAAAGCCAAGACGTACAAACAATGGTGCGCATGCTGAAGGAGGTGGCGGAGTCGGAAGGAGCTGCTTTGAAGGACAACGAAGATGCACCATCCTCCTGGTGGTGGCGGTGGAGAACCATCAACAAAACACAAGGAACGCCGGGGCCAAAGCGATGTACCATGCCAAAGGTCCTCGATCTATCATCAGGAAGATGTTCCATGATGTGTGGGCAATCCATCCGGCGTCATCACACTGCAGTCGCCTTTTGCGATCAGCTGCTTGAGGTGCTTCACCTCGTCATTGGCACGTGCTTCGACGTCGAGACGTATGCTTTCTTTCAGCCGAACCTGGATCGAGCCAGAGGTGGGAAGCAGATACCTTTTATAGACTTGCTATGCACCGCGGCGGCCATCCAGGACCTCCTTTTGATTAACTATCATGGAATGGAATTCGGCCCTTCGCTCCAAGATCAATGGAACAACTATGTCAAAATGAGGGAGCAGGGCATCACGATCCAGACGATGGAACAAAACAGAAGAAGAAGGAATCGCACAAAAAGGAATGGGTGGCGGAAGAAGATTGCAAGTCGGCACGTGGAAAAGCTTGCGCTAAATCACCCAAAGTGCTGAGGCCATCGTCAGCCGAGAGAAAGCGAACGGGCAATCCTGGAACTCCCAGGTCTGTGGGCCCAGCTGACCGAACTGCGGAACCATCATCTAGTTCGGCAGGGGGGGAAGACGAATGGCCACAAGGGTAAGCGCAAAGGGAAAGGGAAAGGAACAGGTGTCAAGGGGGCGTATTGCAATCCTCCTTGGCGAAGGGACCGGGCGGATTCGCAGCGGGCGGGTTACTACGGCGCATGGGATGGTCCACACAAAGATCCATTGTATAAAACACTTCCATTGCGCCGCTCATCGAAACGCCTGCTTTGAAGTTGTTATAAAGATAGGATGCGCGTAGTGGCTGAGGTTCCAATGCGCCCCATAGTCAATGGAATAATGAATTTGCGGAAAGCGCAGGCGCCTCATCGCCGTATCACCATCCGTGTGAGTCTAGGTATTGACCATCTTCCGCATATGGCGCGCCAGTGAGGGGGCGCCCTCCGAACCCAAGCGGAGCGGACTGGTCCATTGAGTGGGCGAAGAGCTGACGCGCCGCTCTAGAGCCGGGTTGGGCAGCGCCGGTGACAGGCGTTGGGACACACTGGGGCCGCCATATGCATTGTATATTTGCGAATGCATGGATGCATGAGGACATCGATTTTGCTATGCAGATGTTCTATTCGACAATGTTCATGCCGGGCAATGGGCACGTTTGCGGGGAAAGCGATATTGCACGTCGGATCGCAGTGCGCCATTGTCCAGATGGTTGTTTTCATGTGCTGCTAGACTTCGTGCGTTCCTGTGTCATAGCTCGAAAGGTTTCCAACCCGAAGCAGGTGATAAAAATGAGCAACGTGAACGGGGAATCGGAGAATCATGTCGCGGGGACGAAGTTTTCTGCCACAACTTTCTGCCTCTGCAATGGTGCTTCAGTAATGAAGTATGTAAAGCACATGTACACGATGCTCCTTGGCTCAAGTCCGGTCTCTATACACACGTTGCGAGACTGCAAAAGGAAAACAACCGAGCTCACTGGAGGCGCGCGGTATGAGAGATAATTGATACATTGCGTGTTTCTTGGAGGACAACTGTTGTCGGGTATAAACGAGAATCCCCTGAATGTTGGTGGTCCTTCTGGAGTTTGCCCAGGTGTTTGGCTGCCGTTCGGTGTGACCTTCTTCAAATATACTCCCCCCCCAGAACGAAGCTTAACGTTTTGCAGCAAATGCCACCATTTGGCGCTTGTGGCCAGACCGTGCTGCATGTTGCAGCTGCGCGAGATTTTGGCGACACTTTGAACATGATCTTCCAGAAGAGGCCGCCGGGGGCCGGTGCGCTGAAAAACCCGGCATGGGCGGAAAACAAATTCTAGACCGAGACCCAGCAGCTGGGACGGAGAAGAAAGCCAAACCAACTTGCGCGAAAACCTGGGCGGGCGTCTTGGCAACGGTGGAGTTGCTTTGGGACATCGATGCGAAGCCAGAGCTGCCCCAACCAGGCTAAGCCAACCCAGAAGCGCGAAAGCTGGCTTTACAGCCAATTAACGAAACACCAAAGAAAAAACAAAGGGCTCAAAGTGTTGAGAAAGGCACGAACATGAGCCAAATCGCGCGAACCTTCTTTGGATTGCAGCCGATTTTCATGCTCACAGCGCCACGGTGTGTCTTTCAAGTGTGTTGCCTGCCAAATGCAAACCTACCAGGCGATTTGGGGGCTATTCACTCACGCTTAGTGAAGAGGGCGATTTGCAGATTTCAGGATTCGGTGAAAGGGAGAGTTTGTATCTGTTCCTGGACAGATTCTCAGCTAAGCTGGCTAATCATGGGAGCAGAGGCCGCTTGCATTCTGTGCAGAGGTGTGTCTGGCTTGCCACAACCGTAGCCGTAGCTGGTCTTTCGGCTTGGCCCAAGGCCAGCGTGCGGGAAGATGCCGCTGCGTCTTGTCGGAAGGGCGCTTGCCAGGCCAGTTTTCGCGCACTGGCCATCAGACCTGCAGAATTCTGCCTGTCAACAGCTGACTCGGCTGCGTCGTTCCCCGTAAAGTTGGCCTCGGATTAATAGCCCCCGAGTGAAAATCGATAGCTCCAGAATTCCAAGGGCTTGTTCCCACTTGATTTAGTATTTCTCGAGCTTCCTTTTGAAATTGGTTTGAGCTTCCACTTGTTTGATGATTTAGTATTGTTGGGATTGATTTTCCACATGATCTAGTGTTCGTCGATTTTTGAGATTCCGTTTGATTTAGTATTGTGTCATCTCACTTTCCAATTGAGTTACTCTTGGTGAAACTCCCTCTCGAAGTTTGATTTGACTGTCTAGTTCACTAGTACGGTGGAATTCCACACTTCATCTGACTTTGTATCGCAGGAGCTCAAGTTAAGTGCGGCCCAAAGGCCCGAATCACAAAAACATGTGCACCCACAGGCATCGTGCGGGGCACTTTAGGTCACCTTCTCAAAACATAACTGTTTGAAAGGGATTTGATAAAGAAATTGTGCTTTCAGCAAGCCACACTTTTTTTGGAATTCAGGATTTTTTTGCTGATGATGTTTGTGCTGTCTTGGCAATGCTTCATGGCTGTGCTAGTATACAATTGCTAGTAAGCACAAAGCTGGGTGTGGATTTCGTTGCAGCCCTGAAAAACCACATGAATATCCTTTTAACCCATGACATTAACATGGGCTGGAAGCCAAACATTTGTGATTGCAGTTAGTTCTGTTTGAGGTGTGTGTAGTGCTTCGTGGCTGTTCTGGTACTAGTGCAAAGCTGGCACTGGCAGCTTTTCTTTGCCTTAGTTACAAGGCATTACAGAGCAAAATGCAGCACCAGAAAGGATTTGAACTTTTGATTTGGGCGGGGCTTCCTGATTTGAGGTCTTTTGTGGGAGGCCGGTTTAATTCCATGTTTTTGAAATGTTTTATTAAGGTGATTTCAAACTGTGTGGTGTTGGGCGTCTGTGCCATGCCAGCCGGTTTAATACAAGGGGTATACTGACCCAGTGTTGACATTAGCCCTCCATCGAGGTTTGACCAGTTGCCCGATGTCAACGCCGCCTTCACCGCTGTCGAAAGTATTGGCAGCTGTGACCTGGCCCTCATGCGCAGCACTGCCATGCATAATGCGTGTGCATCAGGCCACGGCTTGTGGATGTCGATTAGGCTTGTGGATGTCAATTGGGCGTGTGGACAGGCTTCGACCAACCAGCGTTGATTTATATTTTCCTTTTTGTGCGCGTGGGAGGCCAAAGCTCTGCGGCTGCTTTTCGGTCTTTTGCATTGGCTTAGCGAGGCTCTTGTCATGGCTGACTTCACAAACAAAGCCAACATGGTTGTAACGCACTCGATGCGATACGATTTATTTTCTTTCGGTTCAAATCGATTCATGTTGCTTGGAATTGAAACTGCTTCGGTGCGAAACAGTGCGATTCACTGCCGGTACTGCTTCTCGTTGCGACGGGGGTCGGTGTTTCTTGCTCGTTCCTGAGCAGGCAAGCCTCACAAAATCAACTTGTTGATGTTCTTACGAAATCAACTTGTTAGGGTCTGTGGCACCCCGTCAAGCGCACGCAACGCCATCAGCAGCAACAGCAGCGCTACCACAGCCAGGAAAAACAAGCAAAATGTACGAGTAGTCTTCCCAATGCTGCCAAAGATGTTTTGTTTGGTTCTTTCTTGCCGGCCTTGCCTCTTGTGGGCAGACAGCGGCGGCAAAGACTGCCCGAAATGCGCCGGGGTCAAATTCCAGAACGTCCCGCAGCTGCAGCTGCCCGAAACACTCCGGCATCTCACCCCGGCTCGCTTGCAGCGGCAAAGACTGCCTGAAACGCGCCGGGATTGAATTTTGGAGTGTTTCGGGCAGTCTTTGCCGACCCCGCAACAGCAGCTACACCAGGCTTTCTTGGCAAGAGGGGTTGTGAGAAGATTATAATGTTGAAAGGACGAGGGGAGAGAGAGAGAGAGAGAGAGAGAGAGAGAGAGAGAGGCTGGCTTTGCACCTCTTGTCAGCTTTGGCAGAGGAACGGCCCGGGATCAATCTTTGCCGCGTGTACTCCCTTGCTCTGCTTCCCTTGCTTGCAACGGCAACGACCGTGCAATAAGACAAGCGACAAATGCGACACTGCCAGAATTCCCGCACGTACCATTACACCAGGTCTCCCTGACATCCATGGCTGAAATAAAATTCCAATATTAAGGCAAAGATAAAATTGCAGGAGCTGGGAGGCGGCAAAGAACGCTCGTAACGCTCCAGAATTTCATCCCGGCACGTTTCGGGCAGTCTTTTCCGGCGCGCGTTCACGTTCATCATCAGCACTCCGGGAACAGAGCTGCATGAGAACACGGCCGTGCAAGCAAAGACAGCTTGAAGCCTCCACACGCGCAGCGCGGGTGATGCCACTACACCAGGTCTCCCTCACACGCATGGCTGAAATAAGATGATAACGAGAGGACGATTGGCCCGAAAGCATTTTTCCACAGGCACTCATCCAGCCGCGGAGACACATTTTTTACATCGCTGCGGCGAGCGTGTCTGCGCGCGGCGATGCTCAGTGTGTATGGTCACATGAGAGCTCCATCTCATCATCCTACTTTCCTCTCGAACTGCGCCGCGCGATTTCTCACGAAAGTGGTCTGCGCAAGCTGCATTGTTCCAGGCTGCTGCGCGCAAGTTGCTCTCTGCAAGCTGCTGCACGCTGCTGCACGCAAGTGCTCTGTGCAAGTTGCTCTGCGCAAGTGCTCTGAGCAAGTTGCTCTGCGCAAGTGCTCTGCGCCAGTTGCTCCGTGCAAGCGCTTTGCGCATGTGCTCTGTGCAAGTTGGTCTGTGCAAGTTGCTCTGCGCAAGTGCTTTGTGCAATTGCTCTGTGCAAGTTGCTCTGCGCAAGTTGCTCTGCGCAAGTGACTCTGCGCAAGTTGCTCTGCGCAAGTGCTGCCGGAGCTGTGGGAATGTACTTCGCATACTATTTTTGTACTTAAAAGTTGCGATTTTCCAGCCGGAGCTGCGGGGGTGTGCTCCGCGTACTACGTTTGTACTTAAAAGTTGCGCGGGAGCACGCTCCGCATACTACGTTTGTACTTAAAAGTTGCGATTTTCCAGCCGGAGCTGCAGGAGTACGGTCCGCGTACCACGTTGCGATTTTCAAGCCGGAGCTGCGGGGGTGTGCTCCGCGTACTACGTTTGTACTTAAAAGTTGCGATTTTCCAGCCTGAGCTGCGGGAGCACGCTCCGCATACTACGTCTGTACTTAAAAGTTGCGATTTTCCAGCCGGAGCTGCAGGAGCACGCTCCGTGTACTACGTTTGTACTTAAAAGCTGCGATTTTCAAGCCGGAGCTGCTGCGGACCAGGGGGGAATCGAACCCGCGACCGCGGGAAAAGCAGGCGCGCAAACCACGAAACAACTTCCAAAGGCCGTTTCGCGAGCAAGAATATTGCACGGCGCCACAGCGAGAGCGTGTCGCACAATCTCCGCAGAGGGTTCGCCGAGACTAAGACAAATTAGCACGGCGCCACAGCGAGAGCGCTTCGACGCGCACGATCTCCGCAGAGGGTCGCGCGCGCATGCTAAAAATCGTAAAAAGTCCTCAGTTTTTTAACCTCGACCACGCGAATCTCCGCAGAGGGTCGCGCGCGCATGCTAAAAATCGTAAAAAGCCCTCAGTTTTTTAACCTCGACCACGCGAATCTCCGCAGAGGGTCGCGCGCGGACCGCAGAAATCGTAAAAAGTCCCCAGTTTTTTAACCTCGACCACGCGAATCTCCGCAGAGGGTCGCGCGCGCACCGCAGAAATCGTAAAAAGTCTCCAGTTTTTTAACCTCGGCCACGCGAATCTCCGTAGAGGGTCGCGCGCGCACCGCAGAAATCGTAAAAAGTCCTCAGTTTTTTGACCTCGACCACGCGAATCTCCGCAGAGGGTCGCAATCCCGAGCGACGATCAAACTCCCGCCCCGGCGCCTTAGAAACCTAAACTAACTTACATAGCTGCTAACGCCGAAGCTCTACGCAAGCTCTACCTAACCTTGGCTCTGTGCCACACTTGGCTCTACTTGGCTCTGTAACTTGGCTCTATGTAACTTGGCTCTATGTAACTTGGCTCTATGTAACTTGGCTCTATGTAACTTGGCTCTATGTAACTTGGCTCTATGTAACTTGGCTCTATGTAACTTGGCTCTATGTAACTTGGCTCTATGTAACTTGGCTCTATGTAACTTGGCTCTATGTAACTTGGCTCTATGTAACTTGGCTCTATGTAACTTGGCTCTATGTAACTTGGCTCTATGTAACTTGGCTCTATGTAACTTGGCTCTATGTAACTTGGCTCTATGTAACTTGGCTCTATGTAACTTGGCTCTATGTAACTTGGCTCTATGTAACTTGGCTCTATGTAACTTGGCTCTATGTAACTTGGCTCTATGTAACTTGGCTCTATGTAACTTGGCTCTATGTAACTTGGCTCTATGTAACTTGGCTCTATGTAACTTGGCTCTATGTAACTTGGCTCTATGTAACTTGGCTCTATGTAACTTGGCTCTATGTAACTTGGGTAACTTGGCTCTATGTAACTTGGCTCTATGTAACTTGGCTCTATGTAACTTGGCTCTATGTAACTTGGCTCTATGTAACTTGGCTCTATGTAACTTGGCTCTGTGCAACTTGGCTCTGTGCAACTTGGCTCTGTGTAACTTGTCCAAGAACTCCGCACGGAAGAACCCTTCGCAATGCTTCCGGGAATATTAAAACAAACATAAAATCGAAGGAGCTGGGAGGCGGCAAAGAACGCTCGTAACGCTCGGTGCTTCAATTCCGCCGCCATTGGTTTGATATGATACGGGAACGGTTCGGTACGGTTCTCGGTCGTCACATTGTTGAAACAACCATGGTCAATCTTGCGTGCTCGGAGGCGCCTGCGCATGTGCCGCTCCACTTTCACTTGCATCCTTGACTCCGTGCCTGCGCTGGAACAATTCAGAGGAGCAAAAGACCGGCAAAAGCCTATGGAGCTTGTTGCAAGGTTCCATTCGTTCAACAGTTCAGCACGCCCAAGGCAGCGCATCGATGCATTGACTGGCAGGATGACAGGACTCGCGAACAGGATCTGGGTGACACAAAAAAACATAACCAGCACAATCCCAATCGCGCAGCCCAACCACACAGGCAACCTGCTATATCACTCTCGTGACAGCTCCTTGCACCAGCCCATGCCACAGTTTCACAAGACAACTAAATGCGTTGAATTATGTAGCCCAATAGCCGAACAGTTTTTCAGTTACACAGTATTGACGAACCTGGTGTTGGCTCAAGTGAAAAGAGGGCGCTCCGCAGCGGCCAAGCATATTTTCCTGGCAGCGGCGAGCAACAGATCCAGAGGTGCCCAAGCGACCTGCTCAGGATGGCCACGCAGGCCCCTCACCGGAGGCAGAGGCCCCGGGCTTTGGTTCCAATGAAAAAGGAGCCCAGGTGGAAGCCAACCCAATCGCTGTTCGCTGAGCGGCTTCTTCATCAGAGCAGCAGCAGCAGCCGCAGAGAAGAGAAAGTAGAAGGTCAACGCGGATTGAGAAGTGCAACGCGCCAAGACCAAGCCATCCTGAGAAGCCTTTCCGGCTCTGTGCGCAGCACGCTGCAGCAAATTCTCCAACGGCTCGACAATTTCTCCAATTGATCCTTACTCAGCGCACTCAATCTGCTCTTCCAGAACTGCTGCTGCATGTCCATTGCGCAGTCCAGTCTGTCCTTTATGGGCAATCCCACGAACAATCCGAGGGTGTCATTCCAGAGCATCTGGCATTGCTTCACGATGAAGTTCAGAATGCCATGGTCAGACATGAAAAACTCCAACTGTTGTGTATGGAAGTCCTGCTCTTGTGATGTGGCGATGGTCGTCGCTCTCCATCGGATTGGATGCTGCCTTGGGAGTTGCGCCTCGGATCTCCACATTCTTCTCATAGAGGATGGTGATGATTTCCTTGTTGTGTCCGAAGCCTTGGACAATGGTGCGCGGTGGCAACAGAAAATGCGATTCCCGTGGTGGCCAAGTAATCGGATGTCGGATGGTCGTATTCAGGGTCATTGCTATTGGCCTCGGCGCCAAAGAAAAATCTGAACACACCAAAGAAAGGTGGTGCTCCAGCTGGAAGCGCAATCGGATATGTACTGTGCAAGGAGCTCGACTCTTGCTTGATTGTTGCCACAGACGAAACATGCGATGGGTCGCGAGTGCCATGATCTGATGACAATTCCCGTGCAACATGGGTTCGTTAACAGTTATGCAGTTATAGTCTACTATATCAGCTAGCAGACTTATCAATTTACTTTGTGTTAATGGTTATTTTAAATATTTAGTGTCCTGACAAAGGGGCATGTCTTCCAAAAGCATGTTAGCTTGAAAAAGCTGCTACAAGCAGGATTTTTGAAACAAAACTGCTTGTTCACGCGTAAACGGAAACATTGTTCCTATAATGACGGCAGACATGCCACGTGAAGCAGCATCTCCTTCCCATGCTAGGTGGTCACATGCTCTTGCAAACCTCATGCCTCCATGCGCTGCGTTATAAGATATTTGCTGCGCCACTTGTGAGAAACGCATCAATTCTGCCACAGAAAGATCGTGCAATACCATGGCACAAGTCAGCCAGACGAGTTGAACTTCTCGCTCGTCACACACCCATGAAGAGTCACAACTGGGGAACCAGATTTTGGGGTTTTCCGGCATTGCTTCGGCACATCAGAAGACCTTGACAAGACTGAGTACCTCAAGCCGGCATGCACAGGTCCATACATGAAGACAAAGGGTTATCAGAAGACATCAGGTATGGATCCAAGGGAGACATCGTCGCCGTCGCCAGATAATCAGAAAAAGACTTTTCCAACCCTACCTGCGCAACAAGCTCACTCAGGGCCCATGCTCCCATTGGTCCTCAAGTGTCAGTGCGACTCTGGCTTCTGAGTGGACGTCTGGCTGCGGAACAGCAGAAATGCCGGATACAGCAAGATACAGGAAGATACAGGAAGGAAGCGCCTATGATGAGGACCGCAAGAAAGCGTTCGTCGAACGTTTCACTCGCACCACAAACAGAATGCAGGGAATGTGAGTCAAGAGCAAGGGCGGGGCCAAGAAAGTCAACAACCAGCGCATGAAAGAATGGAAAGAATACAATTCCATAAGGAACATTACAACAAGCACGAGTACAACAAGGGCTACAACCATTCCGCAAGGAAGGGCTACAGTTAGAATTGGATCGACGGATATTCATCGGAGAGTAGTTACAGCAAGAGCTACTACTAACAACAGCGCTGGCGTTGAAGAACAACCATGACCAGCTCCCTCAAGCTATGGCCGTTTTTAACTTCGCAACAACCGACACCAATCGACTTGACTTGATCATCTGCAAGACTATTCCGATTGCGACACCAACCTCATCGCCATTAGGATATCTTTTCCTAAAAGCGCATCAGTCCTTATCTTTTCACTCCATTCGCATCTTCACGCCAAACAGACTCACAATCCTTTGCCGCAACCAGATGTCAAACTTTTGTGTGTCATAACTCGAGTTTGTGCAAGTCTGGATATCAGACAATCCGACATGTCCGAGTCACTAAAATAGAGTGACCTTTTTGATACGTCTCAAACCGACCGAAGTATTTTCCAACGGCTACTGCAAATATAAAATATTTCTACTGCATAGCGCCTTGAGATGCGAAAGCTCACAAGAAATGTGTGTTTGTTGTGTTCTGTTCTTTGCAGACCATTGAATCACGCACACAAGTACATACTCGCCATAGAAAAAGACCTTGCTGCGCTCGCTCTCACTATTTTGACCCGGGATCTCCACAAAAGTGTCAACCATGGAAGCAGATCCAGCACCATCTCAAGTGCTACCACTTCGACAGAGAACGATAGATGACTTGGTCTTGGCCCCCTGTGAGTAGTGGACTAAACAAAGTGCCAAAGGGCGTGTTTGCTGGCGACAGGCTGCTGGTCCTGTGTGGAGTCTCTGGCGCTGGCAAACGCTTTGGTCTCGCAGACAGCGGACGTGTATGCCTTGAAAGTGCAGGACCCAGAGCCCTGCCAATATTTAGAACACCTTGTGTGGTGGGCACAATTGTGCAAATTGAGGGTTCTGCATGGTTCGCTCAATTTTATTGAATTACAACCTGCAGGCAAACTAAGTAGAACGAAGCCGGATCCCACTGGCGTACTCTGCAGCACCCTTTTGCAGCTTTGTTCCTATTGTTTTTCTCAGCCTGACGCACTCCCGTCGCCCAGTCAAATCCAATCCCCCTTCCATTTCCTTCCCTGCACCAAATCCGCACCCAAACCCCCAAACAAGCGGATTAAGCAACAGATGTCAATGACGACGCGGAGGCTCTAGAACGAGCATTGGCGGCGTGCCACACCCTGGCTCAGCAGCGCCAGCGCTCGACCAATCAGCATAACCGCATTCAAGGCTTCTCCACGGCGCCGCTGCGGGGCCTCCTGCCTCCTTGCTGTTCTTGGAGCGAGCGCCAGCCAACCACCAGTAAAAGACAGATGATCAAGGGGCTGAGTTCAACCAGTTGAAAGCAAACCCTGGTAATAAGAAGAGCTCCCCGGACTAACGGTTGGAAGCGTAAACTCACCAGGCCTTCGTGCAAACTTTGTTCGGGCACTAATGCCAGAGAAAGCACAGCCCGTGCTGGTGGTTCACCTGACAATGAATGCAACAGGATGTTGCACAAATGGATCGACTATTTATACATTCTCCATGGACCCAAGACATCAAAAAGCGGAGGTTTATGATTCGTTTTACACTTGCAAGATGAAAGCCCAACAACTTCCCGGGGTATCGACTATCAAACGCCAAAGGCGTGAACTTTCAGAAGCGCGCGAGACAAGGACGGGCAACAAGCTGACAGCCGTTCTGGTCTCCGTTGCGCCTGAACATGTTGACCTCAAAACCACAGTCTTGCGAGGCGAGGCGTGCGATATTCTCTGTCAAGTTCTTCGAGAGCTTGGACATCCGCCGTATATGGCCGCGCGTTGTCGGAGCCAGCCTACGGCTGAACGAGTCAGATGGAAGACCGGCGAACGTGGTAGTTGTGGGCAAGAGCCTCTCGCCCTTTTTGGACAAGTGTGCGCCGCAAACTACACGCAACATACCACTCTATCCTCCTGAACTGGTTACAAAGCTGAACACAGGTCTACTTTCACACAAGCTCAGTAGATGCGCTCTCTGTGCACAGGGTTGGTCTTGCCGAGGAGTGGAGCAGGTTGGTTCGTATGTTCAAACGAACGGACGCCCGTATACTTGGATTTCCAGACACCTCTGCCGAAACAATGCCGACAAAACCAGCCACCGCGCGCATGTCATCCTAATTGCTCAGGATCGAAAATCCACGCCGCACTGGTGGTCGGCTAGCCACCATCGTCAGAGGCTAGGTAACCGATGTTGGGTCCCACAAGATCCAGACCGCCGCTCAAGCAACTACTGTTGCAGAGTTGCGCGCTCTGATGTACATCTTCCGAACGTGCTTATTCCTCTGCGGCTTATGGATAGATGATGAAGTTGTTCCATATTTACACCTGGACCGAATGACCTTGCAACGACTGCATGAGCCTATGTTTACCAAATTAGTTTCGACCCCACTGAAAACCATATGCCAAGGATACTGAAACCGTGCTCGACCTGTTTGACGAGATGGATGAGAAGGCTGGTGTGAAGGGGGGCCATGCATTTAATTCTGCTAAAAGCCGGCGTGGTGGCATCTGTTGAGACAGGAATTGGCTCATCTCGCTTGGCCTGTATTTTTTGCGATACTGGTTGAGAGAAAAGTTTGCGGGTTCGGGAACAAACTCTGCCGTGGAAGCAACTCTGTTCATTTTCCTATTCACGGGGCCCCAAAGAACTCAAACATGACCTGAGTGGCTTGGGGGGCGTTGGGCTCAGTTTGAATTGACAGTTTTTGTCGCAGTTGAAATCCATTTCTTGACTGAGGAACACTTGCTGGCCAGGTCGGAGTCACGGAGACATGTCAGAACATCAACCATTTGGTTTTGCGAAACGAGCCTGGGACCACTCTCCTTGCTCCGGACCCCTGATTTGCGCGGCTTATTTGAAGCGCTTGCCTTGCAACAGTTTGACAAGTTCAGCGCAAGCTGGCAGCCAAATAGATCGCCAGACAGGCTGAAACATTAGCTAAAAAACCACACATCCCACTTGTTTGGCAGGTTCGTGTTTTTCAGACACTCCGAGAACTTGGGTCAGCCTTTTGGGTGAGGACATCGCCTTCAGCGTGGTATTGGGGCTGCGCCCCATTCACCTGGCGGCGATCCGCTTGTGCGGCGGTTGCTTAGAACGGCTGCTGCATCACGGCGAGGACTGCAAGTTTGTGGGGAGGGGGGGGGTGCTGCTCATCTCCGGCCCATGGGCTGACCCTGCTTCTTGGGCAGAGCTTCTGCTCTCTTCTCCTACGTCTTTTTGCTTCGGGTCTTACAAATGGCTCTACTGCTCTGAGAGATTTTTGAGCTGTGCAACTCTTGCCTATGACGTCGCGTTGCTGCACCACGCCAACTCCAATGTGCCCGCGCGAGCCAACGCTGCTTAATTTTCACAAGAAACCCAACAATTACAGCGGCAACAACAAGAATGACGACGACAAGGACAGCAGCAGCACCTGCAGCAGCAGCAACACCCAGACTCCGCCTTTCTGAAAAGATTCAATAGTTTTGGAATGTTTCAATCACGGGCTCTGCTTTCCCATGAAAAGGCACGGTTTTTATTGAAACAGCCTGTGCGAAGGTTATTGGTTCGCAAGCCCATTCCAATATGTGAACAGTGTTGCGTTCCCAGAGCGTTGCCGTGGCATCTGACTCAAGAGCAAGAGCGTGCCGCCCCACGTGGCTCAAGACTCAAGACTCAAGACTGTGGTAACGGTAGTCGGCGCCAGGTATAAGACAATCAAGTCCGCGCGCCGCTTGCGGTTCCATTTCTCTGTATTGGGGCATTGCAGGTGGAGAGTGGAAGTGGTGCAACCAATCATTGGTATTCCAACAATATACCCTCGGTTCGGTTTCTCAGGTTATCATGCGTAGGAGTCTCCCACTAGCTGTGCGACAAAGGTTGAATAAGGACAAGAGGGACCCTCCCTCGTCCCAAGTTATTGAGATTACGACACTTTTCGAAAAAATGTAACCGGACGTGGAAGCGGAGACACCGATGTGATCAAGTGTTGGAGCTCGAGCATCAATCAGCCATTTGTTGCTGACGCCAGATTATGATTGCGAGAACGCCTTCCCGCTAGTGGCAGGGCGCAGACAGATCCCAGCAGACAGACAGATCTTCATTCTCAAGGGACTCAGGCGGGGGTCTGGAAATGCCTCGGAGAAGAACTGCGCAAGCACCAAGCAAAGACGGGCAGCGCACGAGTGAAGCAGCTGAACAATTTGACGAAGTTCGGTCTTTGCGGCGTGAATCTTGCGATTGAGCAGTGGAGGGTGAGAAAGAACAATTGTTTGACATTGAAGTTCGGGCGTTTTCCATGAGTGAAGAAGCGCAAAACGGTACAAATCCGAGAGCCACACGGCCTCCACGTCGCTACATCAGGCAATCAATGCCACGAAGAAGCTCACGCCCCCTGTAAGCATGGAGGTGGATGCAGGAGGACGCCTTGAAGGAGAAACAGTCGCTGAGAGAAAGTTACGATCTGATGAGATCAACATGCAGAATAGGATGAAGGGCGCCAGAAGAAATCAAACCGGGATCTAGAGACGATTGGTTGCAGACTGCAAGAGTATATTGGCTAGGAGCTTGACGCTGCAAAGCTGGCCGTGCACAGAGAAGCTCGTGAGCAGGTACTGAACAACGAGAAACGGGCCAGATCCAAGATCGAAGAGGCCAAGCGGCAACTGAATCGCGAGGATCCTTGAAGCTGAAGGAGGATGTTGTGACGGCAAGGAAGAGCACAGATAGCAATGGCATTAGAGATGGCCGAGCAACAGGCGGAGATGCTGCGGAGAAATCTGAGCTGGGTGGAGAGCACGTCCCAAAATCAATTTAGCTCCCTTCAACATCAGTTTACTTCCATGAGCGACTTCACGAGAGGAACGTTCCCCAACTGAAGGAAGAAGGGAGAAAGATTCAGGATGGAGCGAAGGAAGCCTTCATGAAAGCCAAGAAGGCGGAAGCAATGATTCAGACCAAAACAAGAACAATGAAGAACTCACAAATCACGTGTCAGCGTTGTGAACGAAAGGTACGACGAGCTTATGAAGGAGCGCCACGCAGACAGCCCCAAGTTGTGACCCCTGCGCCGGGATTGCTCCTAGGTCACGGAGCGGGTCACCTTTACCTTCGACGACGCCACGAGCTCAGCTGAAGCCGTATGGACACCAAGGTCTAAAGAAAAGAAGCTGAATTCATCTGCGTGCGGTGCCATCATGGCCGAAGATTGCTCTGGAAGGGCAGGCTTCTATCCAATGTGCTTGCCACATGCGGTGATCCGATCATGAAGCATGGTCCACGTGGTTAACTTGAAAAAGCTCTCGGACAGCAGTGGATCGAGATTTGCTGGAACACACAGCAAGCTTGTGATCAGCTTGGAGAAGATGAAGAAGTCTGCTGGTAGAGATGCAGCAACTGATTGCATGATCAGTTGGATCTGGTATTTGGGGTGAAGCAGCTCTAAACTGACATATCCTGGTGACAAGAAGCTGGGAGAGTTCAAACAGAAGTGGCTGGACATGACCAAGGGACACTGAGGGACACTTTGTGCCGAAGACTCAAAGGGAATGGCAAGGAGTTGGAACTGGACCTGAAGTTGTTCGAACACAAGTATCGAAATGACCCCAGCAGAACGCACAAGAGCCTCCTCAATATGATTGATCGACAAGTCAACAAGGAGGAGAAGAACTGGGAGCACAAAGAGAGATCTTTGAAGGACATTGAGATGGGACCAGCCCTTCCTGCTCCAAAGCCGAAGCCAAAACTCAAGGCCAAGGCCGAAGCGAAGGCTGAAGCCAAGGGCAAGGGCATTCAATCCACGTGAGTTTCTTTTTTCCCCGAAAGCGTCGCGAAGGGTTCCTCCAGTAAAGTCGTTGCGTTCTGCGCAACAGCTCAGCTGCATACTGCCATGTGTGGGGGTTAGGCTATGTTTTATAGAGACTTATAACCCAACTTATTACTTCTACATCCTAACTTATAATCCCAAGTAAGTTTCGCAAGTCTCTATACAACTTAGCGCAAGTTCTATAGCAACTTAAGGAAGATACGATAGATGTTAGTGTAAGTTCTATAGAACTTATTAAGGACTTATCGCTAAGTTCTAGTAAGTTCTAGCCTAAGTTACTTAAGGAACTTAGGGAACTTAGGTGAACTTAGCTTTTTTGCATGATTTCTAGAAATTTAGGCACGCGCTGAAAAAGCGAGCGGGGCTTTGTCCACACAGCCGCGCTTTGCTGCACTGAGTCTTTGCCAGTGTCACCAAGCGATGATCTCGACAATGTCGCCGCGCCGCTGCCACCCAATCGAGGCGCAGGCCGTCTTGCAAGCAGTGCACTTTCACAGGCGAATCTCTCCGCTGACGCCACGTTGAGAAGGTCGCGGACTTGGACAGGAACTCGAGCGGCGCCACCGCAGCTGCCATGCGCTCGTCGACGCGCAGCCCGCAGACCAGGGAGACGGGGACGCCCCGCGCCAGGACAACGTCGTCCGCCGTGTAGAGGTCTTGTTTCCAATAAAACTGATGAGACGCCAGAATGCTCGTGTCGTCTTCGCACAAAACCTCGCCGCGCAGCAGAGCATCCTCCCGCGCAGCGACCGCGATGTGCGCGGATGCGAGAATGCTGCGGGCAAAGATGCCGCGCTCGAACCCAGGGCCCGAGCGCAAGTGCGAGGCGTAAGCTTTGAGTAGCCTGTGCTTGCGCTCAACCCATAAGAATCAAATAAGATAAATATATATTTTTATTTAAAATTTAAAGAAATATATAAAAGTTATTAATATATAAAATTTAAAGAATTATTCAACACTTGGTTTATAGAATTATACAAAACATTTTATAGAATTATATACACAATTTAAATAATTATACAAACAGTTTAGATAATTCTATAAACAATTTAAATCATTATAGAAATGGGTTTGTGTAGTTATTGCATTTGTCTCTTATTCTTCAAGCACGTGTGAAGTATGATTGCACTCAGTGTTTTCTACGCCTGATCACCCGCTTGATTCATGTAGTTCCTGGAGGGTGTACTTTGGCCCAAGCAAGATGGAGGGCTAGCCGGTACTTGCGCAGCGCTTTGTCTGCGCAAGTTAAAGCGGAGCAGCCGCTGGCCGAGGCGGCCGCTAGAGTCTTTATTCGGCCCATCAGGTCTTCTTGAACCATGCAAGATGTCCATACTGGATTGATCTGATTAGATCTTTGAGCTATGTGCAGTAAGTCATGCCATTTTTTGGTCACTAGAAAAAGTTCTTCGCCTCGTGCCTGGCAGCGTTCTCGCAAGTCCTGGGCAGGCAATGCGTGAGGTTGATTCTTGCCCCAAGGTGCAGCAACCGTGCCCGCCTGATAGAGTCGTAGAAGCTCTTTGGTGGCGCGTAGAAAGTTTTCGTAGACTGGCTGAGGCAAACGAAGATCTTCGGCGTGGTCTTGGAGACACTGGTCCATCTGCAGCGATCGTTCGAGACACATTTTCAACTGCAAGTCCTCACGAGAGCTGCCGGCATGGATGCTCCAAAGTTGAAGTAGCGGCTGGGTGCATGCTCGAATGTCTACGGCTCGTCCTTTGAGCTTAGGCGCAAGCTCCTTGCGTTGCCACGAACTTGGCTGGAGGTGCCGGAGGAAACGGCCAGTCTCAGGCCAAGACTTACCTGAGTTTGCCAAGCACGCTTGCAGAGCTGGCCAGCCTTTTCTCCGTAGCAAAAGCTCAAGGGTCGATCCTGGCAGGTATTGGTCCGTCCCAAGGTGCTTCGTGCGCATGAGGTCTGGCTGCACTGCCAGCCCGCTCAGTCCGGGCACTTCTGAGAACAAGGGGCTGCGCTTGCAGCAAAGCGAGCCTGCCACTCGTCGGCTGTGAACAGACGCGGAAATGGCCGGCAGAGCAGCTTGCTGCGATGCACTCCGCAGAGCTGGCACGGCTCCAGGGAGTTGTGCGCGGGCAGCCCCAGCCAGCTAGGGTGGAAAGCCAAGTCGGCCTGAATGCAAATCAAGATGCCGCAGTGCCCGTCAGCTAGAGGCTGTCCGGCTCGGGGTCGTGCAGTGGCTGGCCCTTTGAATTCGTGGACGGCCACACTCCAGACTGCAACGCGCGCAGAGACCACGCGAGCCTTCTCCAGAAGGCGGCCGGTGTGTGGCAGGCATTTGCTTTGCTGACAAGGTGTCC